ATCATTTATGTTACAGCATATTCTATAACAGAATTGTTCAAAGTGTGAACCAACATATAAGTGGGAACATTTGGTTTGCCTTATCACATAAAAACCTCCCGAAAATTTGTCATTTTAAATTCTAGCAACCTACAAGAAGACTGTAATTCATTAAAAAAAAAAGGGTTGAAAATATATTAATTCTATTGCAAGACACTATGCTACACTATCAGTTCAATCCCAGTTATAAATTACAATAAAAGTGACATTTAGGTTTCAGCTTTCTGCATTTACATCTGCATCCTTTAACCTAATGGTTTCTTTGCAGATCAGTTCCCCTTGCTGACAACAAAGAGAGTTTTCTGGAAAGGCATCCTGGAGGAGTTACTATGGTTTATTAAGGTGAGATGATGGGGGAAATCCAAATTTGTTGCTTTGTTTTCTACATGCATCTTGGTCAATGAAGCTCTAACATTTGTTTCAAATGCCACAGGGATCAACAAATGCAAAGGAGCTATCGGAGAAGGGAGTAAAGATCTGGGATGCCAACGGCTCCCGTGCCTTCCTAGACAGCCTGGGCTTCACAGAGAGAGAGGAGGGGGACCTCGGACCTGTGTATGGGTTCCAGTGGAGGCACTTTGGTGCAGAGTACAAAAACATGCACACAGGTACTGCAATGTAAACACGTGTGGCAGGTTTCATGTTTGACCCTAAAAAAAAAACGCACTGTAGTTTTTATTTTTAAGATAAAATTTGATTTCTCAATAACTTTTTTTAAAAATATAAATTAGTCATTTAAATCTATATTTGTATCGAAAGCACTTTGAAAATCAATCAAAAACAAACTTGCAGCACAATTAGGGTATACTGCAGGTACCAGTCCAAGCCAGCATGTGGCAGAGTTGTACAATTTTTAGAGCTGAACATTAGTTTTTTTGCCTCATTACATGATAAGCCAACCATTTAAATACTAGTTTATTTACACATATAAATACAAAATGACTTCTCATGAAGTCCTCAGTTCAGAAACTGTAAGAAATTAATACCGCTTTCCCAGCCAAATAGACAGGAAAAAGGGAAAGAAAAAAAAAACAATTGTTATTTTCATTCAAATTTTTTCCCCCACCCTGAGAACCATTTTTATGACATAGACTTTTTCCCTTAAGGAGAGGGTGACATTATAAACATGTAGTCATAAAAATGTCTTAATGCTAACTGAACTCATTTATATTGGCCACATCATAAAGTGGATCAAAGCAGCTCTTGCTGTGTTTACTGTGTATGCTGGTCCTACATGACAAGGGACCATAACATCGAGACACCTAGTAGGTTAATTTAAATCTTATCATCTTGGTAGAAATTGGACATTGCTTCCAGTCTTTAAGTTGATACTTTAGGAATAAAAAAAAATGCAATTGTTTTCCTGCTTTAGGATTTACAAAATACCAGATAGTGAAATCTGGCCTTCGCGTTTCAAACTATCTTCAGAACTGCAGTGTCTTCCCACTCTGCAGTGGTCTGTATCTAGTAAAAGTGGTCTAGTAAAGGATATGGTGATCCAGCATAAAGATCATAAGAGGAAAATACTCAAGCTACTGTTGCTCAGATTGCTGAGGAGTATTATGCTGGTTTTAGAATGGGTTGCCTCAGTTTGATGCTTACCTGAAAGTAGAGACGCCTATAATATTCATGATAATATTTAGATTGTGTCACTTTCTTTGTTTCCTAACCTGCTGCGTTTGTTCTGTTATTGATCCAAAGCTATTCTTCCAACAGATTACTCAGGGCAAGGTGTGGATCAGCTGCAGAATATCATCGACACCATTAAGAAAAACCCAGAGGATCGGCGGATCATCATGTGTGCATGGAACCCCAAAGGTGGGTTGGCATTATGTTTTTATTAGGGGGGAGCCTCTGAGGGCTGATTACCTGGTTTGGGTTTTAACATCCTTTGTGTGGTCTGCAGACCTACCTCTTATGGCTCTGCCCCCCTGCCACGCCCTCTGCCAGTTCTATGTCTGTGATGGAGAGCTGTCATGTCAGCTGTACCAGCGCTCGGCCGACATGGGTCTAGGGGTGCCTTTCAACATCGCCAGCTATGCCCTTCTCACCTACATGATCGCACATATTACAGGACTTAAGGTACGGCAGAGGCGAGAGCCTTGTGTGTTTAGCCCCTTGCTGTGTTTTCCATCCTCTCACATCTGTCGTTTCCTGCAGCCAGGTGACTTTGTCCACACTCTGGGAGACGCTCACATCTACGTCAACCATGTCAAACCTCTAGAAGAGCAGGTGGGTTAACTCAACCGGTTCAGCAAAAAACATTTGTCTGATTTTGTTCGGATTCTGAAACGCCCAATCTTCCATTTAAATGTGCAGCTGCAGAGGGAGATTCGTCCATTTCCGAAGCTAAAAATCAAGAGAAAGGTAGAGAGCATCGATGACTTCCAGGCGGAGGACTTTGAGATCTGTGACTACAACCCGCACCCCACCATAAAGATGCAGATGGCTGTGTGAAACCAAATCCTTGAAACATTAAGGGCGATCATTTTCCCAGCTTAACTGTGTGCCTTTTAAAACTTGACAAGATGGGTTTTATTCAAGACTTTGTTTTGCATTTTTGGTTACAAACTGTTTCACTTTATTCAGAAAACGTTTCCTTATGTTAACGCTTTACTGTGTTTTCCACATTTTAAGTGGTAAATTATACATTTTGTAAATAAAATACTTTTTTGAAAAATTGAGTCGTGTAAAAAGAACCCTCTTAAGCTTTTTTGATAAAGTTTCAGCTTTGATGATTTATGATTATTCATCTATAATGAAGTTGGGTCATGTTTAAAAGTGGTTTATTTATGATAAAATCCTTATTTCTTGTTTTCAATTTTCCAAACGTTTCCCTCGGGGTATTCGTGTCTTTGCACTGATGACTCCAGCATCTCACAGGAGTAGCCTGGATCCTGAAAACGGCAATACATGAAGTGCATTTTAAAAGTATTCACACCCCTGTACACTTTTCACATTTTTTCCATATACATTAAAAAATCTTATTCTTTTATGTGACAGGAAATATCCAAAATGAGCCTATAAAGAGTGGGGTGCCTTTGCATTCAGCTACCTTTTTTAAAGAAACTCAAATGAGTTCAATCCTGCTGGAAGGTGAAACCATCAACTCTTCTGCAGCCTCTACAGCTTCTCCCAATAAAGCCCTGTATTTAGCTTCATCCACCTGTGCATCAATTAAGACCTGCCCCTGCTTAAGTAAACTTAGTCTACAGCAGGGGTCACCAACCTTTTTAAGACTGAGGGCCATTTCAAGGGTACTGAGTCATAGGAAGGGCTACCAACACTGACCCATGCACAGCAAGGGTCAGTGTTCACCTAAACTTCATTATACATTATAAACATTTTTATTGTTTCCTTTAAGTTCTAATTGTATTTTAGACATTGTCATTTTGAAAGGATCTATAAATTATTTTAAAAATGAGAGAAACAGAATAGAATAAAATTTCAAACTTAGCCCACTGGGGAATTGTTCTTTTCTTAGAAGTCTGAGGGCAACCCAAGTGGTCCATGAGGGGCCCCTTTGTGCCCGCGGGCACCACGTTGGTGACCCCTGGTCTATAGTATGACATTTTTAGCATCATGTAAATTAATGAAAGAGTTATAGTTTTATAACCTAACCCCATTTTAAACTTCCCCACATGTTCTTCTCTAGTCTGTGTTCTTTGTCCCCCCATATGCCGTTTTTTTCCACTTACACACCTCAGATTTTATTTAGAAAATCTTTGTCTTGGTCTGTTAGCTAGAATCCCAATAAATAAACTGACGGCTGTTTAAACAGGACAAAATATGTAAAAGTTAACATTACTGGAGCAAGACCCTGCAGTAAAATAAAATCAGAGGTGTGTTGTCATTTCTTTACCTTTGGGGGCATGTAGTGGGCGTTTCTGATTACCACAGGGCTGCTGAAGTGTTCATGGAGGTGGTCAACATATTCACACATTCTGCAAAGGCATCAAAGGTAGGTCAAATGTTTTGAACATTAATGGCAGTCACTGATTCCAGCACCACCTCACCGGCCGCTGAGATCCGCCGACACGCAGATGTAGTCAAACAGGATAAGATGCTGGACGAGCTCACAGAGACCGACCCCTCCAGCGTGAGGACACACAGGCACTGAAGCAACAAATAAACAGCACTGTTAGAAAATGATGGAGGCACCAACATGATGAAACCAACTTTTTAATACTACCTTCTGCTCTGTGTGACATATCACTTATTTGATCATTTTCTATTTTTTTTTCTTTTACTATTATTTTCCCACCATTTTTGAAGAAAGCAAATAAGCTAAAATCCAGTTGAGTTATAATATAGTTACCATTTGCAACCATTGGGACCAATCTGACCATTTTTCTATCTTTACCCAAATAATTTAAATATTTAAGAGGATTAGTTTATCAGAATTGATCATTTCTTATTTGTGGGAGTCGTTTTTTAAACTGTATCTTAGGTTTTGACCTTACAATCAAATTAACTGGATATATAAGAAAGGTCTTTGTGTGAAGTTGTGTCAAAAAACTTTTCTAACTGCATTCTCTTTTCCCATCTGTAGAAATCCATCCCTGCCTCAGTATATCTTAGTTTAGGGTAACAGAGATGTTGCTTTTTTGCTTATCTCATTGGGATTGGATTTATCGGTCTCTTTTGTGCAATAACCCACTTTCAGATCTGTTATTTAAATTAACTCTGAGCCCTTCACTATTTTTCCATTATAAGTGGCTCTTTATTTCTGATTAGATGCCTCTCATTCTTAAGACACCCATTAGAAGAGCCATTTCTGCTTCTTTTAATTTCCTACAAAGAACATTTAATGCTTTGATTATTGTCTTCATTTTGTCTGTCTGCTTCCTCTCATCACTCAATCAGTCACTGCAGATGGCTGACCATACTGAATCTGTATCTGCTGGAAGTTTCTGATAAGGTAGTTATGTTATAAGGCAGCCATTTTTCTCCAAAGTTGACAGATGCTTGCACAGGATCAGGTTTGAGTTTCTTTTTATTGGGGTTGAATAAGCAGTGGAATTTACTTGTATTGTGTTTGACTTTGTGCTGAATTGGATTTTGTATAATTCAATCCAAATATAACTTGACAGCAGTGAAACAAAGTTGTAAAGTTGTAATTTAATTCGATAAAATCATTCAAATGGAATATGACCTGTATGTGTTTGTCTTGAACGTGGCCACATTATGTAGTATAAATTGGTGTTAAATTAATAAACTAGGCTATTAAAGGTTTAAGTCTATGTGGCGCATGATCAGAAACCAAAGTCCTAAAGTTTACCTTTGAACTTATGGGCCATCAGCAGCACAGCCAGGTTCTCATTGACACTGCCCAACCGGCAGCTGTCTATTTGCACAAACTGCAGCGCTGAAGCCTGCAGGAACTGCTTGAACATCACCCTATTGTGACACTAGAGGATTAAAAACCCCAATTAGTTATGTTGAGTGAAAAATCCTGCCAATCAATCATACTTTTAAGTGCATAGAAGATGTTTAAGCTCCAACCTGCTCGCCGGAGGCCACCCCAATCCCAAGTGGAGCCAAAGCCTGAGATAAGAGTTGCAGTCTTTTTAGTTAGGGTAAAAAGGACCTTGGCTTTTGTTGCTATTGCATTTTATAGCAATGCAGATATGAGAACTTATCCCAACAAGTACGTCAAAATATTCTTGAAAAACAGCCACAAGGAGACACATCATTTAGAGAGACAAACTACAACTTCAGCTGCAACAAAAATTCTGAAAACACAAATAAAGATGCAAAAAGAAAAAGGAAAGTTATCCAAAATACAAAGGGGGAGACTTTACTAACCAAAAAATATATATAAAAAAAAAAAACATAATGGACACCACATCTGAAAACATTTTAATTTAAGTGCACACAAACTCCTGAAAAATGTCAAATATTAATATGTTGTTCATCTATGAAACAAAAAGATTTATGTCAGCTTAAAATCTATTTTAGCAGGAAAAAGTTTTAGAAGCTCTCCTGTCAAAGTTTGCTTCTCTGGATTTGAACTGTCAGAATAAAATCCTGATATGTTCCATCGTATGACGATACCTAGCAATAGCAAAGAATAAAAATAAAAAAAAACATTTTTCACCTTTGAAATTGTTGCATGACCAAGAATGTCATCTGGGGATGTGGGCTCCTCGATCCAAAGAGGTTTGACTTCAGCCAGTCTGGTCACCCAGCTGATGGCCTCGCCTACGTCCCATCTCTGGTTGGCATCGATCATCTGACAAATTTTATTTATTTTTTTTAAATGGAGCCTTTTTTATTCACCATTGCAAGTTTGAAGGTGCACACTACCTTACCAGTGTGTTACTGGGTCCAATCATCTGCCTGATGAGACGACACCGTCGAATGTCATCCTCCAGGTCAGCGCCAACCTTCACCTTAAATCTGGTCCAACCGTTTTGAAGAGCATCTGTGCAAAGCTGGAGGAAAACATAATAAAAGAAAAGAAGAACTGGAGTAGAAACACTGCAGGTCACGTCATACCGACTTCTTACCTGTTTAAGCTGCTGGTCGGAGTATCCGAGCCATGCACAGGAGGTGGTGTAAGCAGGGTAACCATGGCTCAGCATCTGATCCTCTAGAAGTCATTACATAATTAGAAAATGACCTTCAATAGGTTTTACCAAAACTGTTTAAGTTGGCTAAATGTGATTCAATTTAAATCATACTTTAGGAAATGAATGGCTTTACTCACCTCTCTGCTGCTTTCCTTCATTTGCATTCATAAGTATATCTGGTAAAAGAAAGGAAAGAAAGAAAGTGTCTGCAAGTTTACCTTAGTCTCATTAGGATATACAGCACAGTTAAGGGGTTTACCGACACCCATCGAGGGATTATAAAGACACATTTTAACCATTCTTCTTCTAGGTTGGACTGACTGTCAAGCATTAAGACATTTGCAATTTAACTAAAAGAAGAAGAGTTGGAACAAGTTTGAGATTAGAATTATGAATACAGTTATGGCTCTGGCTTGGAGCCCAAACGTAAAGCTTAACTCTAACTGATTCGGTCATTTCAAGTCCAGTTTTCGTACAAAAGACCTTAGTCCTTTTGGCAATCCACCTTTGTTAGGGTAGGGTTAGGTTATATCAACCATCTGATCCAGAGAGGAAAGGAAACTTGTAAGAATGATCCAGATAAAACAGCTTACGGTAGTAAGGTGCCAGCTTTGCAATTCTGCAAAAAGCTACTTAAGTACCAGTCTCACCATGCACAGTGAAGCAACTCCTAGCATAAAGCACTCCTAGAAGAAACCAAAACAAAATTAAAACAACTAAAAATGACTAAAATTTAAAGAGGCCCTCACAAAAACCAAATTTAATTGGGGGGAAGTTTTAATGATTAAAACAAACGAGCTTGATTTCACAAATAACAAGGAATGTGTTTCTAACAGTCAATGAAAAATGTAACAAAAATTAAGAAAACTGTGCCAAACCTCAAGCATAGTGGTGGCACCATCATGCAGTGGCATAGTTGAATAATGATATATTCCATATATATATATATATATATATATATATATATATATATATATATATATATATTAGCTTCACCTCAAATACACAGCTTTATCCGGACATTGTGGAAAACAGACA